ATTTATTTATTTATTTATTTATTTATTTATTTATTTATTTATTTATTTATTTATTTAAAACTTTTATATGCTGCCCAATCCCAATTTTTTGTGGGGGGAGGATGGTGTGCGTGTGTGTGTGGTGCACAGGTGATACAATGAAAAGGGGTCAATGCCCCCTTGCTTTTAAGCTGGTGAAAATAAAATCTTGGAAAATTGCTGCATGCACAGAGAGGCATGGTGCAACTGCCTTAAATATCTTTACTAAGTAGAGTTTCTCATCTTGAATTGATAAGAAAGAATCACTCCAGATTAAAAGTCCTTATTCCTATGCAAAAAGTGGTTGGCATCATAGAGGGGAGAGGTAGGTGTGTGCGTTCTCTCCCGGAATATTCGGTTATTACACCCGTAAAAAATAAAAGAGTTATCATTTGAAGTGAATTTATTTGATAGGGTTGTGCCCCATTGAAACTCTGTCATAGGAGTGGGCACACAGGATTGGCGATTGTTCCCCCATAACATGGATAGCGGGCTTATCTCATCCCAGTCAGGGAAGTAAACTGTGACTGCCAAAAATATGTAAGGCCACCCATTCTCTCCTCTTTTTTTTTCTTTACTTTATAGCAGACTTTCTCCCTGTTCTGACATAATTTCTTTTCTCCTACAGTTCTCCATATATTAACTTCATTTTGCTTTCTTTCCAGAATCATAGTAAATATTATTCATACTACCACAGGATATCATTCCAAGACAATACGTTTTTTAAATGTGGCTTTTGACTGTTCAGGAGAGTATCTACTTGCTGGAGATCATCAGGGGAATATCTATGTTTTTGATTTGGTGAGCAACAGGTTGGTACGCCAGATCTATTGTTCATCATTCAGTATATGCTTGCTTAAAATATATGGCTTGCTTGTATAGAAGTACGGTATAAGTATACTGGTTCCATTTGGGCTTTTTCCATATACACCATGAATAAAAATATTTATTACTAGTATTGAAATAATTGTTTCATTATTAATAAAATCATATTTTGTTGACAATTGATTATGGCCTAGATTTATTTTACTTCCCCCATTTCAATGCTCTTTAATAACTTATAAATAAAAATAAGAGAAATATATTGAAAAATATATACTGTATATAGGTAGATATAAACATAGACATGCGTATGCACACATATATACAGAGACATATACATAAATACAAGTATAGAATATCTGGCATGTTTTAGAATATGTCGAGGCCCTTATTTATTTATTTATTTATTTATTTA